ACCGGGACAAATGGGCAGCTCACTGCCCCAGCTCACCTCTGCCTCCTCCCCTGAGTGCATCCTGCTTCTCCCCACTCCCTCCCAGTGCTTGCGCCGTGAAGCAACTGTTTCACACGGGAAGCCTGGGAGGGAGGGGTGAGGAGGGAGAATGCGGCACACTCGGGGAGGAGGTGGGGCTGGAACAGGGATTTGGGGAGGGGTCCTATAGGGCCAGGGAGGGGTGGAGTTTGGGAGGGGCCTTTGGGGAAGGGGTGGAGTCCGGTGGGGAAATGGGGGTGCGAGCACCCACCGGCACCGAGAAAAGTTGGTACCTGTGACTGCGTGTCTAAGGAGTGATATTTAGGCTTTGCAGAATTCATTTGACTTAATATGTAATTCTGACCGATAAAATTAATATTTATTTGTAAGATTTTTGTTATGTATCTATTTAAACTTTCACAGTTTCAGCTTTTATCGATATTATTGTTCACAGTTGTGAGAAATTGGAGTCAGACAATAATTATTTTATGACAGTAGACACGGAGATTGAAAAACTTAAAAAGTGTAACTGTTGAAACACAAATCATCAACATCACAGGTCAAAACATACGAAGTAAATCTCCTGAAATCAAACTCTAGTAAGTTCTCAAGCAGCATTTTTCTTACTATGCCTATTTCACTTATCAATGGAAATATTTTTCCATGGTTTGTGTGTGTACAGTGAAATCAGCATTTACTGACATCGACTGATAAAGTCTAATCCTTCCAAGTCTAGGGATATTCAATTCACAGGCCAAAAACTTGGTTAAGCTGGAATCAATGTGTCAAAGGCCTGATTCTGACATATGGTGAGGCAGATCTGCCTCTGTGTAAAGCAGACGCAGTGTCAAAAGTATTGCCAACATTCATGATTTTATAATGAGTCTCATGGAAATAAGAATGGCTATACTGGGTCAGTATAGTTCATCTAGCCCAGGATCCTGTCTTCTGACATTGGCCAATGCCAGGTTCCCCAGAAGGAATGAACAGAACAGGTGGTCATCAAGTGATCCATCCCTGTCATTAATTCCCAGCTTCTGGCAAACAGAGGCTAGGGACACTTCAGAGAATGGTTTTGCCTGATATTTGGTGTATTTGTTAAAGCCCCAGCTCCTAGAAGCATGTGACGAGGTGAGACTCTTGGCTTTTGTTTCCTAAACAAAGGAAGTTTCTGGTTCTCTTCGTTGCAGAGAAAAACATGACAATGTGATCCGAGTGCAGCCTAAACGTCTGAGAAGCCAGACGGCAACTAGAAAGAACCCAACATTTATTATGAACTATTATTTTTAAGACTCATGGTTTTTACGGCAATCTCATCATTTCAGGGGTTCTGACTAATGATTTTTTAGAAGCTTGGAGTTGGCAATACTGTGAGAATTCAGGCCTTAACTCTCTATTCACTACCCATGGAAAGCCCCCTAATTTAATGCCATCATTTATCTAAAACAGCACAGTCAACAGAAAGGGAAATAGACAGAGAGGGCAAGGTGGGGGAATGCACATATGGCCGGGTTGTGGGCCAAGCAGCAAATGAGCACAGGCCCTCCTGGAGTAAGGTTGAAGTAAAGAGAGAAATTAGAATGTTCATTTTTATGTTTAGGTCCTTAGAGCCTTTGCTGGAGAAGCCAGGCCTGAAAACATGAACTGATCCCTGCCAAGACAGTACAGCCAACACCACGTAATCAGAAATGGCCAGACTGGGTCAGACCAATGTTCCGTCCAGCCCAGTGTCCTGGATTCCGATAGTGGCCAATGCCAGGTGCCTCAGAGGGGACAAACAGAACAGACAATCATCAAGGGATCCATCCCCTGTCGCCCATAACCAGCTTCTGGCAAACAGAGGCTAGGGACACTTCAGAGCATGGTTTTGCCTGCTATTTGATGTGTTTGTTAAAGCCCCAGCTCCTGGAAGCATGTGATGAAGAGATACTCTTGGCTTCCATTTCCTAAACAAAGGAACTTTCTAGCTCTCGTGGTTGCAGAGAAAAACTTAAAAATGTGATCCGAGTGCAGCCTAAAGGGCTGAGAAGCCAGAAGGCAAATCGAAAAAACTCAACATTTATTATCATGTTTATTTGTAAATTGTATGTCCCATAAAAGGCAATTGCATCTTTTTGGGGGTCCAGACTCATGATTTTCCAAATTTTGGGGGTGGCAATGTAGTGCCACTGAGAACTCGGGCCTTAAATCTCTATGTGCTACCCTGGAAAGCCCGCTAATTTAGTGCCATGATTATCTAAAACAGCACAGTCAACAGAAAGGGAAATAGACAGAGAGGGCAAGGTGTGGGAATGCGCATGGGGCAAGACTGTGGGCCCAAGCAGCAAATGAGCACAAGCCCCCTGAAGGAAGGGTGAAGTAAAGAGATAAATTAGAATGTTCATTTTTATATTTAGCTCCTTAGAGTCTTTGCTGGAGAAGCCAGGCCGGAAAACATGAATTGATCACTGCCAAGGCAGTACAGCCAGCACCACGTAATCCAAAATCTTGAGGTTGGCTGAAGAAAACATGAAGGGTTTTCTTCTAAAAGTTAGTTTGTTTGTTTCTGAGCGTTCATGATTCACTCTGGTCACATTCTCAACCTTTTCTACTCATCCATGAGAGCAAACTGACCTTTGTTAAAGTGAGAGCTGAGATTGTCACATAATCACAGGATCCCAGGAGCTGGTGTCTTAAGAGAAACACCAGCTAGTGAAAGAGTCAGTGTGAAATGAGGAAAGTTTGTGACGACCCCAATGTGATGTTTTTGTGATCTGATGTGACAGGAAACAGCTGCACTTCTAGCAATTGCAGGTCCTTACCTGGCCCCCACCACTGCACTGTCTGAGCACCTGGCAAACGCCAATGTGCTTATCCTCACCATACTGCTGTGCAGAGACAACCTGCCAACAGTGAGGGGGAAGGGGCAGAGTGAGGGCAGTGCCTTCAGCTGATGTTACTGAACATTCTCAGTCTGTATGAGCATAGTCACTACAAGGCAGGCAGCAAATCTGGGGGAACACATGACCCCTTCTACCCCCCCTTCCCCACTGCTGTGTGATGCAGAAGGGCTGTTTCCCCCGTTTTAGAAGAGGGGACATTCAGGCACAGACAGAATAAGTGACTTGCCTCACTTCACACAGAGCAGGGAAATGAACCTGGGTCTGCTCAGGGTAACTTAGCGCCTTCGCTACTGGACAAACCTTTCCCTCTGCAGCCAGAACCTGGGAGAAGAGGATGAGGAGATGGATGGACATGCCAGGACACAGAGTTTGTCTGATAATCATCTCACTGACCCTCCCCACAGGCACTAGGCCAGTCTGTGCACAGTCAGGTGATGTCACCAATCCTTGATGTGGTCTTTCAGGGGGTCTCTACTTTCTTTGGTTAGCCCCTGATCAAGACAGGTCTTGGACCCTGACACTGAGTTAGGCCTAGCAGTCTGTATCAGTGCCTTTTCACTGTGTTTCTAGAGGCAACCTCATACACCAACATCAGCCATTTGCTGTCCAAAGCCTTTCTACCAGTGTAACACCTACCTGAGCTCTCTCCTTTTATAATAGGCCTTCGTTCCCTTATTGGTTGCAGCTGTGGGTGCCTGCCTCTGTGATTGGCAGTTGAGGCAGATCCAAGGGGGTGTGGTCAGGCTGCTTCCCTGCAGATAGGAGAGGCTCCCTTCCCATGCCAAACATCTGCTGAGAGGAGTGGGGAGCTGCTGTAGTGGTGAGCAGAATCAGAGGTGAAAGTAAGCCGGTACACCCCGGTATGGCTTACCGGCAAGAGGCAGTGCGCCACACTGGGGTGGCCTGGCTTCCTCAGGGGGCAATTTAAAGGGCCTGGGGCTCCCAGCAGGGGTTGGAGCCCCAGGCCCTTTAAATTGCCAACAGGGCCCTACTGCTGGAGCCCTGGGATAGGGCTGCGGGGCTCTGGGGGCTATTTAAAAAGTCTGGGGCTCACGCTGCTTCTATCGCCCTGGCAGCGGCTATTTAATGGGCCGGGGCAGTAGAAGCAGGGTAGCCCCGAAGCTTTAAATAGCTCCCAGAGCCCCCACCTGCTGCTGGTAGCTGGGGGCACTTACCTTACAGAGTGGGCAGGGGCTGGCTCTAACTCCCTCCACTGCCCCCCTTCCACTCTAGGCCCCACCCCTTCCAGGGGCCAGAGCTGGCCCCAGTGTACCAGTAAGTCACTGGACTTACTTTCACCCCTGAGCAGAATCCAGGTAGTTTCTTTCGGGCCAGGCCTCCCACCCCCTTCCCTTGCTAGCTGCTGTAGCTGCTTAGGGGGCTTTGCTAGCCTGCATGTTGGCAGGGGAGTGGAGAGGGCTCCATCTTCTCCATCTCCCTTGGGATCTTTCCTGGCTCTTTGGCTGCTGTTGGCCGAGTGCTCTGCTGCCGCTTCTCTTCCCCTTGGTTAGGGCTACCATATGTCCAGATTTCCCCGGACATGTCCAGCTTTTCGGTCTATAAATAGCCATCCGGGGGGGATTTTTAAAAATCTAAAAATGTCCGGGATTTCCCCCTGGTCGGCTATTTATAGACAGAAAACCGGCGGCCAAGCACCACTGGGCAGCCAAAGCCCCTTCCCGGCTCCCCCCATCCCCTGCAGCCTTACCACGCTGTCCGGCCCCGCAGCTGTCTTCCTCCTCCTCCCCTCCCCTGAACGCTCCGCCCACCTGCTCCTCCCCCTCCCCTGCTTCCCGCGAATCAGATCTTCGCGGGAAGTCTGAAAAGAAGCAGGGGCAGGTGGGAGGCAGCAGCAGGTAAGCTGGGGCAGGGGCGGGGGGCGTGAGGAGGAGAGCCCCGGGGAGGCACGGCCCGGCCCGGGCCGAGCGGCTCTCTCCTGCCCGGGCCGAGCGGCGCCCGGCGGCCCCAGCCCAGCTCGTGCCCCAGGGCGACAGCCCCGGTTCCGGCCCCAGTGCGGCGCCCCCGGCGCTGGCTGAGCACCCCCAGCTCGGGCCTGGCCCGGCTTGGGCCCCAGCAGCACTGGCCCCGGCTCCAGCGGCTTGGGCCCGGCCCGGTTCCAACAGCACCAGCCAGAGTGCAGCCCAATTCCTGGGCTCTTTAAAGCTGGCCCTGGTCAGGGGACAGGGAGGGGGGGGTTGGATGGGTCGGGAATTTGGGGGGGCTGTCAGGGGGGCAGG